TATTCAAATCATTGAGGCCCCTATATGCCCAGAGCCCCAAGACCCCGAGCTGCTTGCCCACCCTGGTCCAAGAAGACCTGCAGTTAAGGGCTCAGAGTTTAGGGTTTCAGGTAACTGATGCTTGGGACAGCGTAGCTTGTGGGTGTAAGGTGTAGGGTTCAGGGCTTAAGGTTTAACGTTTAGCGTCCAGGATGTGGTTGACGGTTTTACAGCAGAGACAGCGCAGAAAGACACGGTTTAGGGTCAAGGCTTTAGGGCTTTTCGGTTTAGGGTTGAGGGTTTAAAGGTTTAGGGTTTAGGGTTTAGGGTTTAGGGTTTAGGGTTTAGGGTTCGGTACCTAGATGGATGGACCTGGGTTTGGGGTGCTCTGCTGTACGAAAATCTCACGCGGAGGATCTCTCTATTCGTTGCTTTGCTTTCTGGGAGAATCCAGAAGCTGCAGCCAGGCTCGGAAACCTGGAGATTCTGAGGTATGCCTTCCTGTTCAGGCTTGTGGATGGACCTAGTGCAAAGACGATCATGAGCCAGGAGGGCAAGACGCTGCTTCCGATTCTGTGGCTAGGCACTCTAAACTCTAAACCTTAGGCCCTAAAGCTTAAACCCTAAACCCTAAACCCTTAAGCCGCCATGTGCCGTCAGACAGACGCAAAACAAACGCCTTTGCACCAGTGTTCTCGCCCTTCGTCACGGAAGCCTTCTAAACTCCATAGTTCGTCCTAAACCCTAAACCGAAACCTCACGAAAGTCACAGAATCATCTGCCATCGAAGCTCTGACCTGAGTTATCTAGTGCCTACCCTCAAGCATACACTCCGGAACCCTAACCCAAAACACCACACTCCCCAACACGAACCCCCGGCGCCCTAAACCCTAAAAGCCTGCAGCCGACGCCGTAAACTTCAGGACTTCGGGCTTCGGATTGAGCGTCTCGGGTCTGGGGTCTTAGTGCTTGCGATGTGGATTCCAAACACATCAAGAAGTGCCTGTATGTGTGCATGCATGCACGCCCGCACACGGGCATGCACAGACGGACGGATGGATGGATGTATAACACACACACACATATATATATATATATCAGATATGGAGATAGATAGATCGATAGATAGATAGACCGATCGATCCATAGATCGATAGACCGATAGATCGATAGATCGATGGGTCGATAGATCGATGGATGGGTGGATGGGTGGATGGTTAGATAAATAGATGGATAGATAGATCGATGGATAGATGGATGGATAGATGGATAGGTAGGTAATTACTTAAACCCAAAACCTAAAACCCTATTCTAATCATTACGGCCCGTCCAATTATAGTATAATATACCCCCAAACCCTATTCTAATCATTAAGGCCCCTATAGTAGCAAGTCCGGACAAGGCCCTTCCCCACCGGTGCACCTGCTCTTTGGTCGCGCGACAGAGGGTCCTTTGTCGGCGATAAGTCCGTCTGGGGGCTGAAGGGTTAGGGGCTTAGCGGCCTAGGGTTCGGGGTTTAGTGTTTAGGGTTTAGGGTTTAGGGGCTTAGGGTTAAGGGTTAACCCTAAGTTGTTGAAACCCTACGTAGTCGGGGGTAGCTTTGGAGGCTCGCGATCGGGAGGTTCGGTTTTCAAGCAGACGTTCAGATGGTAATCAACAACCATGGCAACTCCAGCACACCACCTGCCGGCGATGCAGAATGAAGAACCTAGCCTCAAAAGCAGAGACTGGAGAACCCAAAACCCTGAACCCATGACACCCCTACTATCATGCCCGTGACTAGACCAGCTAAGTTTCGGAGAACATGACATCGGTCTTGCACTCCGCTGCGGCAAATGCAACGTCCGGCACCGGCTGTGTCTCACTCTATCAAAGGTCTGGTTGCTCGGGGGTGGGGTTGCAGGATGTGTGGTTCAGGCTTCTAAACCCTAAACCCTAACCCTAAACCCTAAACCCTAAACCCACCTTTAAAGGTTCCGGGCGTCGGGCTTAAGACTCTCAGGCTAAGGACTTTGGCTCTTCATCGGGCTGGCTCGTACTCTCTGCGGTTGCTTCGGGCCTGAATCTACCGTGACACTTGTAAAAATGATCAAGTTGACGACAAGTCCTTCATGCAAATCTGCCTCAGGTGCCATGAATAACGTGGGCCGTGGAGCAAAAAACAACTGCGCACGGAATCGGAAGCTTGTCCAAGCTACAAACAAGGCCTGTCTCTGCAAAACAAACTTGCACACAGATCCAGATCCAGCCGCCATTGACAAGATATGTTTACGACGTTCTTGCGGCTATTCCCACCGTCGCAGTTCCGTTCATGGTTTTACGGTCCTCAGCTCTACTGCTGCTGCTGTTCCTGTTCCTACTACTACTACTACTCGTTACCACTACTGTGTACTGCTGGTACCACCACAGCTACCAGCTACCAGTAGCACTGCCACTGTCACTACCACTCCCACCGCCAACGCCACCGCCATCACCACCACCAACACCAACACGACAAGGACGACGACAATCACTTCCACCACCACCACCACCACCGCCACTACAACCTCCAACATCAAATTCCTCTCCTTGTCTTGTAAGCCTGAGTGTACGCAACCTGCTCTTCGCTTGCAGCTTGGAGCTTCGGCTTTGGTGCAGCTGAGGGGGTAGAGGGGTTAAGGATTTAGGGTAGAGCGACCCAGGTTCAAGTCTGAGAGCCGACCTGAAGCAGGCGAGACAAGGGCGATACATCCCAAAATCCTACTAACCCTACAGCTTAGCGGTGATGCTTTGTGAATTTGTGTCGGCTTCAGATGAGGACAACTTCGCGATTTCGTTCTTCGCGAGACTCTGGAGCTCTTCACACGGAGGCCTAAGGAACCTCAATCCTAAGTACCTGTATGGGGATACTTACCCAGACCATAGGAGTAATTCTGTTTAGGATTTAGGGCTTGAGGGGTTTAGGGGTTTAGCGTTCAGGGTTTCGGGCTTAGATGCTTGCTTGGGGTTTCGGGTTCAGGGTAGGGGCTCGCGAGTGCCACCGCGTCTTCCTCTTGTTCTCAGTGCCTTTGACTGATGCAGGTCTACCCCGTGCAAGACAACTTTGTGTCTGCGATTGCAGGAGCTGTCCTGTTGCATTAACATGTAGGTGAGGGTTCTGCTTTGGTTAAAGTCCTCGCGTCCAACTTTTGATGTTCTTGCTGCAAAATAATCGAACCTGAGTGGTAGTTCCAGTGGTAGGTGTATGGGTACGTAAGCCAGCTGAAATAGCCAGGTCAACTTATACTAGCCACATATGGACTGATAGCAAAGAAAGGGGTCGGGCTCCCCAAACCCAAATCCTGAACCCCGAGCCCTCAGCCCCAAATCTCAACTCAAGTCTGGCTCCCTGATCCCTAAACCCTTGGCCCGAAAAAAAACCCTAAACCCCAACAAGCCCAGAATCCTAAAGCCTTTGCTAGGCCCGAAACTTCGGGCCAAAGCGCAGCTTCAGGAGTGCGCGTCGTCTGCCGAGACTGCAAAGAGCACACGATGGCCTTCGGCAGTGCGATGTTTATGGAATTCAAGCGACCCTAAACTCTAAACTACGGTTTAGGGTTTAGGGTTTCCCTAAACCCCCAATCCCAAAGCGCCTAAATCCTAACCAGAATTAATGTAGGAGCCTTGAAGGTTTGGGTCTACCTGTATGGGTGGAATCAAGGGGTCGAAACCACAAGAATAGGGCCCTGGGGTCTATGAGGTTATAGTAAAGATACAATGAGGAGCCCTTCTGCATACTATACCTCAACCCTAAACCCTAAACAACAACCCTAAGCCCCAAGCCCTAAGCCCTAAACCCTAAACCCTAAACCCTAAACCCTCAGCCCTAAACCGTTATAACATTGGTAACTATTTCGACTCCTGCACTACCCCTCAGACCTACGAGTCTGAGCTTGGGATTTCCAGCGCAGGCTCTTGAGGTTTGGGGCTTAGGGTGTTTAGGGTTTAGGGTTTAGGGTTTAGGGTTGATCTTGGAGTTTAGGATTTGGTGTGGAGATCTTAGGGGTTTAGGATTTAGGGTGGACTGTAGATCTCATGGTTTAGAGTTTAGGGCTTAGATCTTAGGGTCTAGGATTTGGGGTGTAAATCTTCGGGCTTAGGGCTTTACTTTAAAGCGGCATGCCTTGAGCTTGCAGAGCCTTGGAGATCTAAGTGCATCCTCAACCCTAAACCCCTAAACCTCCAAGCCCTAAGCCCTAAACCTGTAAACTCTAAACCCTCGAACCCCCCGCCACGGTAAAGTCACCAGGAACCGCCGGAGCATCGAAGCTCCGAAGCCTCAGACTGTCGACGATAAACCCATTGTAGCTCCTTCTTTGGTTTAACGAATCTTATACTTAGAGTCTGATACGGTAACCCAAAGAAAGGCGCGACAACGTAGAGACTAAAAGGTTCAGGCCTCAGAATATAAAAGCTTGAGAACTTCGGTGGTTGGGCAAGGACAACTGAAAACACAACTCCCGAGCCTGAAAACAGGAGAAACCGCTTGCCAAGCCCCAAAACAAATGCTGCCGAGCTTTCCGCGTATTTTTCGAAAATTAAAGCGTAAACCCCAAGTCATAAGCGATGCCCCTTAAACCCAAAACGCTGAACCGGTGACTGGGGGGGTCCCAAGCCAATACAAGTAACACTCCTAACTAAGGAATAGGAACCTGATTAAGAAACCCTGGCTCTTTATTAGGGTTCCGAATATGAACCCTGCTATATTGGGGTTATAGGGCCAGGGTTTCTTAATCAGAGTCCTACATTAGCCAGATTCACCGGCAACGAGGCGCCTCCGCACTTGGTGAGTTTAGAGCCCCTTGGAGGGTACGCTCGAATTTGGACACAATAGCTTTCAAACAAGCCGCACGCATCGTACTTAAGATGTCGAGATTTGCCTGTAAGGTCAGTGTTATGGCAGGTTTTGTCAGCAGCTGTTCGCTGGAAGTACAACTGTGGCTGTTCCTAGTAACTCCTAGTATGACGAAGCTGCACATTCGTACTGAGATTGTTAGATAGCTGAACATGCCAATCGGTCTTTTTAATCTCACTTCGGTTCTGCGTATGACAATGAATGTTTGAACAGCAAAGCCGACACCCCAAAAACCTCGAGCGTCTTACTTTCCTTGGTGCCAATATTCCTGCTTCCACTCCTCTGTGAAGGCAACTTAAGCGCCCTCAGAACCACAAATAATAACAAACGATATAAGCAACAAGCCCCTTCGATTCTTCCCATAGTTTTGACCGAAAAGTATACATGGGAAACTATAAAATACGACTATATAACACAAACTATGGTTAAGGGAGTTATATTAGAATGACAAAGGCATAGCCAAAAACAACAAACGGGCAGTTTTCTAAATTAGGGTCCCTTTGGGGGTCCTTTTTATAAGGGTGCCGGACTATATTGGGGACCCAAAAAAAAGGACCCTAATTTCGAGAACTACCCAAATAATAATTCATCTAAGAGCACTAAAGTCGAAGAGCCCGGCCTGGCGAGGCGAGGCCTTTAGCCATCTCCGTCCTGTCTGCGTCGAGGCGTCGGTGGCTCTGAGTGCTAGGGAGGGAGGGGGGGGGGAGAGGGGGTTGGGGAATAGGGTTTAGGGTCTAGGGAATAGGGTTTAGGGTTTAGGGTTTAGGGTTTATGGTTCTTTTGGAGGATTTAGGGTGTAGGAGTTACGGTGGTTTTGGCTCCAGGCTCTAAGGGGTCTAGGGTTTGCTTAGAACTTTTAAGATTTCGGGGGGTTTGATTTCACCGAACCCAAATATTCAGGCTCCTATATTATGGTATAGGCTTCGGGGGGTGTAGGATCTGGGGATGATGGGTTAATAGAGAGGTCTGAAGAACTAGTGGAACCGAAGCACTCCCGTGCGGTCGCTATACAATGATTCTATGGCTCACCCCAGCCTCCAAACCCTATCCTGATAATTCAGGCCGCTATGAACCCACCAAAAGAAGAACAACCCAAACTCTGCAAAAGAAACAAAAAAGCAACAGGGGCCGCTAAGTATATTCCAGCCCTCCTCTGATGGCTAAAGCCCTAAACCACAACTAGAAAAGCAGGACGCTAGTGTAAGCCATTTTTAACCCTTTAACAACCGCCAACATCACGCTTATTTACCGATTTAGGGTCGTACATCAACAACCTAGACCCCCATACTCGAACCCTCGACCCTAAGCCCTAAACCCGCACTCTCCAAGACAAGACCCCTCCAGGGCGCGTCCCGGCCTCGCCACCTCGAAAATCACCTTTTGGGCTCAGGGATTTGAGGGTTTGGGGTTTAAGGTCCAGGGAATCAGCACTCTGCGCTAAAGTGCAGACATGTTCATGTTGTGCATGGTTGAATTTCATTTCTGGGCTCCGCTTTTAGCATCGGGGACCACGTGCTCCCGTTTTCGGAAGGTTTGCTTTGCAGGGATTGCCCAAGACACTCACTTGAAGAATCACAGGATGTGCTACCGAGAACCGTGCCCAACAACAATGACGGTACAGTAGCATCCCGCCAGCGAGGCTGCAAATGACCATCTTGACTCTTAGACCCCAAACCTCGAGACGAAATCGACCCTAAACCCCCAAATCCTCCCAAATCTTAAGACACTTAAACTCCTAAACCCTAAATTCCCCAAATCCAAAGTCCCAAAACCCTAAGCCCTAAACCCCAAATCCTAAACCCTAAACCCTAAACCCAACGTCCCAAAACCCTAAGCCCTAAACCCAAAATCCTAAACCCCTAAACTCCTACACCCTGAATCCCCAAACCCAAAGTCCCAAAACCCTAAGCCCTAAACCCCAAATCCTAAACCCTAAACCCCTACTCCTTGGAGTCCACCCTGCACGCTGCTTGCTGGAACCCCAGTGCGGACCTTCGAGGTTCCCACGACGCTCGCTTTTGGACTGTATGCTCGGCGAGGTCCTCAAACTTTGCCCCACCTTAGGGTGGCTGGCCTTTTCTGCCGTTGAGGCTTTCGTGCATGGGTTGCCGAAGCCTCCTTTTTCTGACTCTTTTTCTGGTTGGTTCGATGAGGGTCTTTGGCACCAGCAGATTCGCCGTGCTCTACAGGATTCTGCCGAGATCGTGGCGGAAAGCAGCTGGGATCATCTGCTACGTTGCCCGCTTCTTGCTAAACAGTGGGCCAGTCCGTTCACACGCAAATGTCGCAGCAAGGCTGCGCGGAAGCAGAGTGGACATTTGCAAAAGTGGGCCAACCTTGCGGCAGCTCGTGCAGCAGGCGCCTTTTTCTACCACCACAAGGGGCGCAAACCTTCCTTTTCCCAGCACAAGTGTCCCGAATGTGCTATGGTCTGCCATACTGCAGCTGCGGCACACATGAGCAAAGCCCATGGCCGTGTTGCACGAGCAACCTCGTCCGCCAACGGGACGAGATGTGAAGTCTGTGGCATTGAGTTCTGGAGCACCCAGCGGCTACGTGAACATCTATGCAGACAAGAGTCATGCCTCCGCACTTGGGAAGCTTCCGATGTGGGCGCGCAGGATGTGGTTAACAGGCCAAGACTAGCCACGCGTGGCGTCCCGTTTGCAGGACTAGTGGACCGACACCATGGTGGGCTACTCTTCGCCCTAATGCCGCTTCGACTGCGACAAACAATGGCTCCTTTGACAGCAGCCACTATCTTGCTGAGTGGCTGCGTACCGCTTCCGACGGCCTGGTTGAGGCTCAGGTCCACCAGCTCGTTGTTCAGGGCATAGTTCACAACCTTTCTCCGGAAGACATGCCTGTAGCGGTTTCTCCAACGAGCGCTTTTGCTCATGGAGTAGCGCATTGCGCTCTTTTTGCTGCACAAGCCATCCTTGCGCAGAGCGCGGGATGTGAAGCTGTGCTTGGACCGTGCGTCCTTCTGGCCCACTGGGGTCGGGATACGAAAGTCGCTGCTTACGGAGTGGGCATTCGGCAATGGCTGATCTTCAGCTTGGACATGCATGCTGTGTGCACTCGGAAGAGTTCAACCATCACATGCAAAAAAGCCCTAAACCCCAAATCCTAAACCCCTCAACTCAACCCCCTAAGCCCTGAAACCTAAGCCCAAAACCCCTAAGCCCCAAATCCCAAACCCCTAAACCCCAAAGCTCCTAAGCCCTGAAATCCGGTTTGTTGACTGAGGCTGGGGCCGATCCGCCGAGCCACATGCGACAGCCATCCACAATGTGCATCGAGGCTGCCTCAGAAGCTCAGGAGTATTTTTGAAGTTTAGGGTTCAGGAATTATTTTTGAGGTTTAGGGTTTAGGAATTATTTTTGAGGTTTAGGGTTTAGGGTTTAGGAATTGTTTTTGAGGTTTAGGGGTAATACAACTTAACAGAGTATCATGTAATAGAAAATGTTGCAGTAGGATAAAAGAGAATAAAACATACTATGGCGTGGTAGAATATACAATAATCTATCGTGTAGAATAAGATAAGCGTCCGGGCTTTCGTAGGGTTTTAGGTTTTAGCTTTTAGGTTTCAGATTTAGGGTTCGGGTTTGCGAGTTTGAGTGTAATTTCGGCGAGTGCCCTGCGAGCCGTGGCGCTGCCCAGGCAAAAGCGCTAAAACCGACGTTAGCAGTGGCATGTGGCCGGTGAACGAGACCTTACGGAACTTGCCTAGTAGCGTGCTACCATCACCATGAGCACCAACATCATCATAATCAGTGTACTCATCACCAATTTAGGTACCGTCATCATTACCACCTTACTCGACATCGTTGTCAAGCAAACAAAACCGCGACACAATCACCAAGAGACGAAAAACATCGAACACTAGCAATCGCAAACAAAGTCGATGCATGACCCATAGTGCGATATGTTCCAGTCATATCTGAGACGGAGTCGGCAACATGTTGCGCGATGCAGTAGGTTTTGCGAACAAGTTCTCGTCATGTTTGCGTTGCAGTGTATCCCTGGGAGGCAGCAACTCCCGCATATGTCATCTACTACCGAAGCCTGAACCAAGCCGAAATCCCATGCTTCACCTGCCAGCCCCACATGCTAATCCCAACCATCAAACCCCCGAGCCACAAACCCCCCTACCCGTCGCTCCGAAAGCCCATTGCTTCCGCGCACCTTCAATCCCAGCTTAAACGGACCTACGGCCATAAACTCCTGGGCCACTAACACCAAACCCCAACCTTAGAAAGCCCCGGCGCTTGGACCGCAAAGGTTCGTGCTGAGGATTCTACGTCGGAACGAAGCTATTCATGTGACCGGGTGGTTTGCTGTGCACAATTCTGCTGGCTGTGTTGTTACCCTAAGGAGCTCTTATAGATCCCTTTAAGGAGCCCTTGTGGAACCATTTCAGGAACCCTCTAAGGAACCCTCATGGATGCCTCGGCTCCGAAAGCCCGTTTCCGCTGCCAGCGCTTCGTTGACATGTTAAGGTTTTTGGTAGAGTGTAAAGCAGTGTAGTATGTTCTAGTATATTGTTACCAGCATCTTATAGTATCTTCGAAGATCTTATGGCAATACAAAGTATCTTATACTATCGTATACTATCTTATGGTGGCTTATAATTTCTGGTCGTATCTTAGCGTATCCTATAGCCCATTTCGGATGAAGACCTGACTTCGACCAACCAAACCCCCCCACAACGCCCGTTGCAAACGCAAAACCCTAAACCCGAAACCCCCCCCAAAAATCCCAACCCAAAGTCCCTAAACCCTAAGGCCCTGAAGCCCTAAATCGACACTGAACCCGAAGATACAAAATATAGAAAACACACATCCCAAGAAGTAGGGTCGCCTCACGTCCCAGGCGAGCCCACGAAGAGCCACGGGAGGGTTGGCTACGGGTTTGGGTTTTAAGGCTCATGACGAAGATGGTAGAGGTGGTGATGGTGAATGCTCTGCTTCTCAGCGTGATACGTGCTAATTATGACTTTCTGTCGTTGGTATCATGGTGTCCAGAAGTTAGCCTACTCATCGTATTTACCTGCAGTGGGTGGTACTTGCTACTGGATGTTGCAAGTCTTGGAATTGCGGGGCTGAGTGCTTCGCACTGACGATGCCGGGCAGCTCCCGCAGATGATGCGGTCCACCCTCCTGACTGTTTTTCAGAACTCTTAACCTAAGCCCTGACATCCCTGACAAACCCCCCAAACAGGAAACAAAAAATCCCTGAAAACCCCAAAACCCATATATATCTATATATATATATATAAACCCCAGTGAAACCCTCAAGGCAAGCGGCACCTTTCGGATACTCCGCCTCACCGCAGCAAATCCCCAATCTGCTGCTCTTGAAGCGCTCCGATCCTAAAACTCACCTTGGGTTCGGGTTTAGGGATTTTCTGAAGTGCAGCAGTCCCCCCTTTCTCCGCAAGAAGACTCACTCAAAACGAGCGTGCACTATGTGTAAGTGCAGCACTGGAAAATACACTCCAGCCTACACGCTTCCGGGACATCCTTCAGCTTCTGCATCGTCACATACAGAAGACAACTCATCATCGGGTTCACCAGAATCAGACAACGCCGATGACAGATCAGAGCACATTCTAATCTTAGGGGTTTGGGTTTAGGGTTTCTTGAGCTAGCAATAAGAACAAAAGTCGCTACAGCACATCACTACAGGGCTCGCCAACGAAGGGAGATTAGCTAGTCAAGCTCACATGTTGCAGTTTACGGTTTAGGGTCAAGCTGTCCTGAAAGCGCCAGGGCTCTCCAGCTCCGAGCAGTGTTGCCTTTGCAGGTGACAGTCAGTCAGGATGGGGCTGCTTTGGAGGTGTGAAACGATCGGGGAGCGACTGACACAGAGTTTTCGCAGGTGGGCCCTTTCTCCCAAACCCCGAACCCCGAGCCCAAAGCCCGCAAAGCCTCTCAAAAATATTCGTAAATAAGATCCTCTTGAGCCCAATAAGGGGCGAACATAAAATGTCCCAAAGGCCTCCCTAGTTTCGAAGTCCAGAAACTCCTGTCTACCTTCTGGTTGGCCTCAGGGCTGACAGGACTGTACTTGCGGCTCTCGGGCTTGGGGTGAGCTCGCTAATTTCGGCCCATGGTAAGGTGACCATACTGTCCTCGCACACATACACCGGCGACCACAAAAACGGCACAAACGCACAAACCCACAGAAAACTGAGAGTGACATAAGCCTCCCTACCCACCCAGCGTGGAAACTGCCAATGAAGTTCTTTCAAAAGGGGCAATCGTCGGCACGACCCAGACACGATTTTGGGATTGAGGGTCTCGGGTTTAGTGCGGAGGGCTTGCGGATGCCAAAACTATTCATCTCAACCATCCGTCACGACCTCACACCCATGACCCTAAACCAAAGCTTCAAATGCCAGACCCCAAACCCGTACCCGCAACTCTAAACCCCAACTCCACTCGTCCCTACGGCATTCCCTGGGTCGCCTCGGTCTTCTTGGCTTTCGGATCAGCAGGCTCCTGGTACTGGTTGCCTCAAGTTTGCGACTTGGGTTTAGGGTTTAGGGTTTAGGGTTTAGGGTTTCGGGTTTCGGGTTTCGGGTTTCGGGTTTCGGGTTTAGGGTTTAGGGTTTAGGGACTTGGGTTTAGGGACTTGGGTTTAAGTTTCAGAACCAAGGGGGCCTGGTTTCAGGCCTAGGAGGCCCTGAACCCTAAATCAAACCCCGAACCCCGGCGGGCCCTCCATTTCGGCTTCGGCGAAAGGGGGAAGCCAAGGAAGGAGATGTAATGAGTCAGTGGTCTGAAGAATCGCAATCCGGAAATGTGCGTGATTAACAATCGGAGTTGGGTGGTCCTGGTAGAGAGAGGGATTACTTAAATAGCCTCAGAATAGCAGGTTCAATGTCCGCTACTTAGGGAGTGCGGGTTCCCCGTATGCGAAGTCTAGTGTTTAGGGCTCCGTTGTTCCAGGGCTGCCGGCTGCTACGTCAAGGCTGCATCCAGCAGGCGGCATGCTTATCGAGATTTCGACAACACTACATCCAAAACCCAAAACCCATAACCCTGCGCTGAGCTCACGGCGTAGATCCGAATCTGCCAGGCACTCGCCCCAGATCCTGGCGCTTGGGGGCTCAGGGAGGTTCTGCAGGGGTTCCTTCCGGGTTCTGTTCCGGGTCCCTTTCAAGGGTTCCTTCCACGGTTCCCCGAAACGATCAGCTCAGGCTTCCTTTAAAGGGCTGAGGCTTAGGGCTTGTGGTTGGGGCTCGGGGTTGAAGTGCTTCTTGTAGTCTCAGGAAGGGGCGCGAAGGCAATAAGATCAGAGTTTGGGCAGGGATTTTGCTCGACATATGCATGCATAGCACAAGATAATACAATAAAACATACCATCACATGCCATAACATTCCATAGCACAGCATAGCACATCATGGCATACCATAGCATATCATGGCATAGCAGCATTCGAATACAATACTATGCAATGCAAACCAATGCCATGCAATGCGATGCAATACAAAACAGTACCATGCATTTGCACAGAGTTGCTCTGATAGATGGATAGATATGATACGATAGAATGGGGTAGGGTCGTGTAGGGTAGTGTGGCTCAGGACAGGACAGGACAGGACCGGATGGGATCGGACCGGATCGGAATGGATAGTGGATAGTTGAAGACTCTTGTTTGTCAATGGGGCTACAGGCGGCTATTGCCAGAGCAAGCATCTTGGATGAGTCCTTGAAGCTCTGAAACCCCACATGCTAAAAATCCTACACGCTAATGATTACCGCAAGTGCCCTAAAGCATAATCTTCTTCATGGACAATGCAGGATTTTGTCTTTCAGCCCCCTAAATTCTCAACCTTGAACTCACACCCCAAGTCCGTCACAGCAAGACCCGCAAAGCCCTCGACCTTAATGCGAGACTTAAGCTTTGGTAGACACTGAACGTGACGGACTCCCACTCTAAACTCTAAACCCTAGAAGCCTAAAGCAAACTTTAAACAACCTCCAAATCCGAAAACTCCGTCTAGGAACTCTTTGGAGTGTCAAACTACTAAACCCTAAAGCCCTAGCATCCTAGAAACCCCTGTTTGGGGCTTGGTTCCTCGTGTTCGGGTTTAGGTTGTGGCTTAGGCTTAAACCCTACACCCTAAACCCTAAACCCTAAACCCTAGTTCAGCTCTAGCAAGTCGCATCTCCCTAGGCAGCCCGGCTTGTCGAGCGCGGACTCACCCCGAAGGATGTCAACCAGAACGTGCCTGGTGGACGCCGGTGCTTACTATTTTGGCACAATTACAGGGTTTAGGGTTTAGGGTTTAGAGTTTAGGGTTTAGGGTTTAGGGGTTTAGGGGTTTAGGGGTTTAGGGTGTAGGGTATTGGGACTACAAGGGGTACATATTAGCGCACAGTTATATGACCATGGGGGTATGTATATATTGTTGTATGAACATACCAGGACTCGATGTGTACATAATCGTCCAGAACTGATGGGGACCGTAGGGGAGTTTGTTATTGCATACCTGTATGGGGACTACCACAGGGGTTGGGGGACTTTAAGTAACCGTTGCTCCTTTGTGTCGTTTTGGGGGAGGAAGGGCCCTAAACGCTGAACCCGAAAAACCATAGACTCTAGACCCCTAGCCCCAAACCCTCCACCCCAATTGAATATCAAATCTAAACCCACGGCCCTAACTAAACCCTAAGCTCTAAACCCTAAACCCTAAACCCTGAGCCCTAAACCCTGAGCCCTAAACCCTGAACCCTGGACCCTGAAGAGTAAATACAAAAACCTAATGTATGGAGGGGTCTAAATAATTACCTATACGGTTCTGGGGGTTCCTTGTCATATTTATAGTACGATATACCCCCGCCCCCAAGCCCTATTCTAATTATGAAAGCCCCTATATAAACCTAAACCCTAAACCCTAAACCCTATATAAACGTGCGCCAAGCACCTCCGCATCCTTCCCGGGCCCTTGGACCAGGAAGCTCGCCGCGATGCGTGGCAGCGCCATAGCCTCCGGAGATTTTTGGCTGAATGTAGGGGCCTTATTAGTAGGTAGAATAGGGTTTGGGGGCCTATGATACTATAAGTATGATAAGGAACCCCCAAGAAAATATAGGTAATTATTGAGGCCCCCATATTAGGGCTTCAAGTTTCGAGCTGAAGGCTTAGATTTTGGCTTTTGGAGTTTAGGGCCCAGGGTTTTGAGTTTGGGTTTGGGCTAAGGTTTGGGAGTTTGGGTTTTGGGTTAGGGTTGAGAGTTTGCGTTTGCGCTTAGGTTTAGGAGTTTGGGGTTTTGGGTTAGGGTTTAGAGTTTGGGTTTGGGCTTAGGTTTAGGAGTCTGGATTTTGGGGTTAGAGTTTAGAGCTTTGGTTCGGGCTTAGGTTTAGGAGTCTGGGTTTTTGGGTTAGGGTTTAGAGTTTGGGTTTGGACTAGGGTTTAGGAGTCTGACATGAGATTATTCCTGAACTTTAGGCTTTCCTAAGCCCTGGAACTATCCCGATCAGCCCAGCTTTTGGCCATGTAGTGGCCTCCATCATTAGAACAGGGTTGAGTGGAGTTTCTTTCTGTCCCATGCTCACCCTAAACCCTAAACCCTAAACCCTAAACCCTAAACCCTAAACTCCTAAACCCCTAAACCCTAAACCCTAAACCCTAAACCCTACACCCTAAACCCTAACCCGATGAATAGCACCAAGCTGCCAATCCGTATCGGCCAGGGCAGGGAGGAAGTCCAGATACTCCGCGGCTGTCCAGTCGAGAGCCCTGGCATGGTCTTAGGGTTTAGGGTTTAGGGTTTAGGGTTTAGGGTTTAGGGTTTAGGGTTTAGGGTTTAGGGTTTAGGGTTTAGGGTCTTAGGGTTTAGGGTCTTCGGGTTTAGGGTTTAGGCTTTAGGGTTTAGGGTTTAGGGTCTAGGGTCTTAGGGTTTAGGGTTTAGGGTTTAGGGTTTAGGGTCTAGGGTCTTAGGGTTTAGGGTTTATTTAGGGTTTAGGGTCTTAGGGTTTAGGGTTTAGGGTTTAGGTCTTGTATGGGCCTTATTATGAATTAGAATAGGGTTTTGGGGCATATTAAACTATAACCATAGTAAGGAACCCTAAGAATAGTGTTAGTAAGTATTTCGGCTTCTATCTTGTCTCTCTGGTTCAACATTGGTGCCTTTTCCGGGCTCCTTTGAAGGCTCTGTTAAGGGAACTGAGGGATTCAGGGTTGTTTTTGGTTTAGGGTTTAGGGTTTAGGGTTTAGGGTTTAGGGTTTAGGGTTTAGGGTTTAGGGTTTAGGGTTTGCGGTTTATTTGGGCTTTGGATTTGGGGATCGGCTTCATTCAAAGGTCTCGAGTCTCGGCATTGCAGAACCCGACTTTGGCAGTCAAGACCGTGAGAGAAACTGTGCCGCGAATCAGCGGTCTGCAAACCATCATAGATTCATAGGTTCATAGGTTCATAGGTTCATAGGTTCATGGATTTCAAGACCCTCGCATCCCTACTAAACCGCGGTCTCCATCATCGCAGGCCGGCTTGGTGGCTCCATGGGGTTTGCTTTGCATGAGACTCAAAACTGTAAGCGGACTCCGGCGTAGATTCATCTGGACATTGCGGCTTAAAGGCTTCTATTCCCAAGGATTCCAAATCTACCAAATGCATGAAGCTCAAGAGACCATAATTATATGCGCGTCTACACTCCCACTCCACCGTCTGAAACCCTGAACCCGTACCCAAAGAATTCAAGCAGGAGTTGCGCAGTGTCGGTTCATTTTCGCTCCAGGGGTCTGTTTTTTCTTTTTGATGAGCGCCTTTTGTAGTCAGCACTGTAGGTTTACGGAACGCCTGATTGGGACGTGACATGTTAGACGGGTGGTTTAAGACTGAGGGTTTGGAGATTAGGCCCAAACCCCTAACCCCGGAACCCTAAACGTTTAGGGTGTAGGGTGGCATTGCAAAAACATGCCAGAGACACTTCTTCGCGTGGATCTGCGCGGCCAAAACCTAAGGGCGCAGAAGGCCCAGCGTTTGGGGTCTCGGAGTTTTCCAAAAACCCTAAACCCCAATGGCACACTAATCGACTGCGGGTTCGGGCTTTGGGTTTGAAAGCCTTCCTTCCGAGGATTTGGGACTGGCTTATCTTGAATGCCAGCGTCTAGGGCGTAGGAGTTTAGGGTTTAGGGTTTAGGGTTCAACCCGAAACCGAAGGGCCTAAAACCGAAACTACATACGGTGGCTCCTGTAGCGGGGCTTCAGATCTCGACGGCTCTCTGCTCCACTGGCATGTTCACTTGCTCGGGATCTTCCTGCGTCCCCCTGCACCCCAAACCCTCAACTCCCTAAACTTCTGAACCCCGAAAGGTTCATTGGAGGACCACGGGACTTCATAAGTAAGGTTATAAATATGTTAGTTGGGGTCAGAAGTAAATAAGTGCAGCTAGCCTGCTCACAACTCCAAGTACTAAGTCCCTCATCCTTTGAGTAGATCCTATAAACTCTCCCCTGAAGCCCCAAGTGCAAGAACACTCTGCGAGTCCTAGAACACTCTTAGACTCTTAGGCGTCGGCGGGGCAGCGCAGCCCCTGAAACGAGAAATGGGTCTAGGGAGGGGGGTTTAGGGTTGAGGGTTCAGGGGTTTGCGGTTTAGGGTTCCTCGAAGGGGTTCAGGGCTGAGGGGTTTAGGGTCTGTGATCCCTGCAAAATATCCGCCACCCACCCAACAACACAGATATACACACACAGCTAGAATCTTTAGTCCTCCTGTTCGTCCCTCCACTTTGGTTTGTAAGAAAACTCGAAACCCCAAATACGCTTAGTAGTTCTACCAGACCCTCAGACCCAGAAACCTGATCTTGTCTTCAACACTCGCGTGGGTTAACATTATAGCTCAACATGGAAACAGCCTCAATAAAACGAATCGGGCTTTGCTGTACACTCCAATATAGCTACAAAGCGGAGCCCTAAGGGAAAGAATTACTCATTACTCCGACCCGTAAATTAGTCCTCGTTCTTTAGGATGCAGGGCTTGCATCCGACTCTTCGGGTTTTCGAGACCTTTGCGATCAAGCGGCAAAACACCCAAGCCCAAGAGGAGCCTAAGTCACAATAAAGAAGCCTGAACAGATAGAGCGGGCT